GGGTACGGTAATGCACTTTTCTAGGCCACATGTCATTTTAATCGTGTTGAAAAAACTTGTAACTTTTTGTTTGGTGGTGTTATCACCTCATGGTGACTGCTACGATAACAAACCGGAATTTTCACAGTTGCACCTTAAAACAATGAACCAGTTACCCTGAGCACGATGAATCATCTTCGGAAGACAATGAGTGTTGGCCTGTTTTGTAAACAATTCTTTGTCTGGGACCATGCAGGGCGCACAGGAAATATAACAGGGCGCTGACAATTTAAACAGGGCGCCAATTTCAGATAACAGGGCGCGGCGCCCTGTAAAAACCCCTTGTGGAGAACCCTGCAGACCTTATTAGTTTTACACATAAATCTGTTCATATTAGTTTTCTTATTTGCATAATTAGTTTTCTGCGTTTCCATCAATATCTCAAGTTCAAGTAATTTTGAATTAATTTTTAATGTGTCTCCAATACTCTCAGCACACAGGAGTTCTTTCTAAGCTTTCTTTGATTCTGCTTAAGATTACATTGGAAATAATAACATCATGACGCAGTTCAATTTTCCTCTCAGATCACATTCAACATGGACGGGGCAAACTGGACATGAAATTATTTCCTTTAATACATTTCTACCCTTTATATATAGGATATTTAGTGTTTAGCTCAAAAGTGATCTCGGGGAGTGTGTTGTTTTCAGTGTATTGTTTTTACACAAAATATTGTTACTGTTGTACATGTATGTGTTGATATATACATGTACACACATGAAAAACACAACAGTAACACAACTGAAGTAGAAATATCCTGAAATCCCATTTTATTTGCCATTCTTATTGTATTATTGAGAGAATTTGATTGATACATGTATGTTGTTTGTTTCAGTGAAAATGCGAAAGTGTCACATTATATAATCAACAAATTACAATCACAGAAATATAAAATTGGAGATCAAGTGTTTGATGACTTACCAGCATTGATTGAATTTTATAAAATCCATTATTTAGATACAACAACGCTTATTGAGCCGGTAAGTCTGCTTTCAGTATTCTCATATTGAACCAGTCAGTGTCGGACAGGCTATTAGCCAGGAATTTGCAACTGTCAGTCAAAAACTATTCAACTTCATGAAAATGGAGATTGTTTTGGATATATTTTGGTACAATTATCATAGAACAATAGGAAAAAACAGAAAAATTGTATTAAGTCCAAAATTAAAGTCCATTTGGTGGTTGGACTGGTGGCTGGCTGGCAAAATTTTATTTTCAATACAAAACAATTGTCATGAATTTCTGCAGATAAATTGATAATGTCTCAAATGCAGATCTGAGTATAATTTGTTAGTATGCACTATCAGTATTCTCCACAATCAAAAATAGCTAGCCGATGGGCATCCTAATTAGCGTATTAATTTGCATGTCATTTACATAAAACATTCTAGCATTTATGTCACAAACATGTTCAGTTATTCAATATTCTTTTTTTCATTTAATTGAAACATGTTTACAAATTATAATCTTTTAAAACATAAAGAAATTGTTCAACATCAATATTTTACGCAATGCATTGTTCAAAACCAGTGATTTATACGTTCTCAAAAAGTTTCATGTTCATGAAATGCAATGCGTTTAAATAATGAAGAGCGAGTACAAAACAAAGTTGAGGTAAAATGTCCTCAAAGCCAAAAGGGGCAGGGACTATTTTTTGACTCCCATGCGCGAAGCACAAAGTGGGAGTCTTTGCAGTTAGTGTGTGTGTATGTGTGTGCGTGTGTGTGTATGTGTGTCCGACTGTTCCACTGCTATCTCAAGAACCATACATCGGTTTTTGATAAAACTTGGTGCATAGATGCTCTGGGCCAATGCGCAGATTTGATTAGGTTTTGGTAAAAATCCATGCTCGTTAATTACCTAATTTGCATGATAATTAGCTAAGTTTTAGCTGTTCTATGACTGTTCTATGACTGTTCCACTGATATCTAAAGAACCACTCATTACATTTCAATGAAACTTGGTACTTACATACTCAAGGACTATGCAGAGATTGATTGTTTCGGATAAATATTTGTGCATATTAATCACCTAATTTGCATAATTAGTTAATTTTCAGCTTTTCCACAGGTATCTCAAGTACTAATCATCGCATTTCAATGAAACTTGGTACATAGATCCTTTAGGACTATGCAGAGACCTGATTAGTTTCAGGGTAAATAATTGTGCATATTGATTACCTAATTTGCATAATTAATTTTCAGCTTTTCTACTGA